CTGCTGAGGGTCATGCTTGGGGATGGCAAGCCACTGGTGTCACCCCTGAGTTTGGCATGGCATGGAGGATGGGAAGGGGAATGGTGGTGTGGAGACCTGGCATCTGAGGGATGTTTTGGGTAGGGGGCAGAGAGATTGTAAGACACAAAGCAGGCATCAGCCGGGGGCTCAGCTGGACATGTAGCAGGTTCTTGGAGGCTCACATGCTGCCCCAGTGTCTCTGTGCTCCAGGTCCCACCCGGCCTGTCACCCTCTTTACCTTTGTGGTCCTCCTCTCCTGCATCATCTTCTCCTTCTTTGGCCTCTGCCTGAAGAAGCTGCAGCCACGGAAACCCTCCAGCTACCAGGTGAGCACAGGCAGCTGCCCACGTTTTTCCTTCACCCCACTGCATCCTCTCCTTGCATCTCCAGGGTGCATTTGCCATGGGGAGTCTGAGGCGGCACTTGGCTGTCCCCAGCCAAAGCTGGGAGTCCCAAAGTACCATTTCCTCCTGGCCTCCCTCTCCTCAGATGTCCGACCAGTCTGAGGGCAGCTTCAATGACGTGGAGCGGAGCAGTGTTTCCTCCACCCCTAACTCCAATGTGAGTACCCCTCCCCAGCCCTGCTTTGACTCCTGCCTTTGCTCTCCTGCGTCCTGATGGCTCACTGCCCCCTGGGGCAGCTTTTTGTGGCCACTGTCCTGCAGGAACCTGAGCTTAGCCTGACACCAGCGGCCTCTCCGGCACACCAGTCCTATGGCACCATGGGCAACCATCTGGAACCAGGAGAGGATGGGGAGGATGGGGGGCTACAGAGCTTCGAGACAGAGCTGGAGACAGTGGAGGGCGAGTACAGAAGCGGCCCTGTGATGGAGAGCCAGGCTCGCTACCAGTGAACATCCATACTGCCAGCTGAGGACCAACCGTGCTGAGAGTGGAGGATGTGCCATGGGACAGGAAGGAGCCTTCCCAGCACTGGTGGGGGCCATCTCTGATGGCAGAGCCGGTGACAAGACTGATGTGAGGGGGAGACCTCTTGCATGGGAGGTGGCAGGAGGCTTTGCTGGTCCTTCCTGCTACCTGGACTGGCTGAGCCCCCTAATGTCCTCCTGTCCCCACCTGCCTCTTCCAGCCCACAGTGGGGAAGGGGGAGTGCAGCAGTATAGGGAGAGGGTCTCTCTGAGAGGCCATGCTTTTGGGGGCAGGAGGAAGGCCTTTGCCCCTCTTTGAGAAGGAAGCAGCCCAGACAGCACAGATGAATGTGCCCACCACCACACGGTCCTGTGGGTCCTCAGTGGCAGGGGATGGCCACCTCTAACCCTTGCATCCCACCGCACCCACCCACTGCTCAGGCAGCCATCTCACTACCTCCCCTGCTGCTGGCCATCCAGGCTGCTGCCTGCCCCTGCTTTGTCCATTAAAGCAGGGACTGCTGACATGCGTGTGCATTGGTGAAGGAGGGAGGTGAGAGCCCAGGGCAGCTCCCACATCTGCCTGAGCACCAGTGGCCCTGCCCCAAGGCAGGCATCAAATGCAAGCCCAGCTCTTCCTCATCTTCTCACCCCATCCTTCCATCTCGCTACACTATGCCTGCACCCTTGGGCTCTTGGGGAGAAGTGGGAGGTCAAAGGACAAGTCTGTTTAATGGCTACAAGAGCAGCTCCTTGTCATTCCTCTCCCCTGGCAGTATCCCCCTCATGCTCATGCTCTCTCTGGGGCTGCCCATGACACCCAGCATGGCTCTATCCTGTTGCAACAGAAAAGCAGGGTGAGGGCTAGCAGGACCCAGACTTCCAGGTCCTCCTGGTCCACCACATCCTGCCTGCCCTCACCCACAAGCCACAGCTGTGGGATGCTCCCCCAGCAGCCACACTGCCTCTCGAGTGTGAGTCCTGCTGTGGTTAGTGTAAGCACCAATTCCTGCCCAGACAGCATCCCTGGAGTTTTCCAGCTTGACCAGAGTATCTGTGGTGGCCGCTGGGGATGAGGGCTTATCCTCAGTCTGCTCAGCCCCTCTCCCACCATAGCCCACCTGAGCATGCTGGCTCCTTGCTCAGCCCTTCTTAGGCCTCAGGGCTGATTTTCCTGTCCTTGATTCTTCTGCTAGCTTCACAGCAACTCAAGTTGCCACCATCCTGGAGTGGGGAAGGGAGGATAGTGCAGCTCTGCTGGCACCAAGGCTGCCGGAATGGTGAGTGCTGCTGTGCGAAGGCAGGTGCTCAGCTATGGCACTGCTCAGCATTAGTGGTGCCACTGGTGGGGGGGGGCATAGTGTGCCAGATCTGGGCAGGGGGGGATTTGAAAGACAGCCCAGTAGCGAGTTGTGGGTCTCAGTTGGACTCAAGTGGACCCTGGGACATTCCTGTGACACTGGTGGGTCTTGGCCCAGCCAGCTGGCAACCCCATGGCCCCAGTCCCACCCACGCTCCTTCATGCTAGGGCAGTGGCTGCAGCACACTATCTACCCAAGCAGTTGCCTCGGGTGAGTCTTGAGCTCAGCTGCTCCCTCCCAACCCCAAAAAGTATCCCAGGGGTTTGGTGGCTTTCTGCCCACATGCCCCCATGGCTGTCCACAGCTCAGCCACTGCCCGCTCCAGGGGCAGCCCCAAACAGGGCAGGGGGATGCTGGTGGCCTCTCTGAGGGTGGAAGGAAGTGCCTGTGAGTGGCACTGTGTCCTCAGGAGCTCAGGCTGCTGGTCTGATTGCCCTTGGCTGCCCCACTGTAGGAATGTGCCAGAGGTCTGTACCTTCTTGTGATTTATTGCTATGACCGTGCCTTGAATAAAATGACTTCACCCAGCTGCTGCCTGGCGTTGTCACCCCAACCTGTCTTTTCTGGCACCAGTATGGGGGGAACCCTCACCAGTGGAGCCTGCAAAAGTACTCCATCCCCTTTTCCCACCTGTGGACTGCTTTTGACCTTGCCTGAGGATGTTCTGCAGAGGGTTCAGTGGCAAGGAAACTGCTTGGGCACCCCACCTCGAGACACCTTGCCACTCACCACGGCCCCCACAGAAACAAACCCCAACAAGTGGACAGAAACAGCAAAGTCACAGGAGCAGGAGAGCACCTCACTGTACCCTATCAGATGGACTGGCACAGCCCTTGGCACCATCCCTACCTTGCGGATGGGGTGCAGCCCTGCAACAGTCGTGCATTTCCTGCACACCTTCTGTCAGCACTCTCCCCATTGGCAGGGCTGGCTCAGAACACCAGCAAAGGTGCAGACATTGGCTGAAGGTAGCAGGAGGATGGCCTGGAGCCCCTCTGGGACCACATCAAGGAGCAGGAGCAGCAGGGACCCATCCCATCCGGGTCGGATGATCCCAAAGGTGAACTGCCCACCAGCAAGTCCCATGGAAGGGAGCGAACAACATTTTTGGAGTCCTTCCCTAGATTTTGAGCAGACAGTACTCTTTTACTCCCCTCATCCCTCCCAAAACTCGCTCTTTATACCTGAATTCCTGCTTGAATGACTTACCTCTGGTTTCAGCAGGTCCCTCCTACTGGCTCCTCCACAGCTCCTCCGAGGTGAGCCCTGCCTGGCCACTCTGGCTTATGGCAGAAGGCAGAAGGGCAGAAGGCATGGTTAGGGCTTTCCTTCAGGTGAAAAACTGGAAAATTTAAAATCCCAGTCCTGCTTCACACACCCCTACAGAGGCCCCCCTTGTTTATAATGAGTGGTAAACAGGGCTAAACACGAGGGCTGGAGCGAGGGCTGTGAGCGAGGGCTGCAATTGCCTCTGGCTCGTGGCTTTCCCGGCCCTTGCGCTGGGGAAGCTCATCACAGCCTAAGGAGACTGTGCGAGCCCCATCACGCTGCACCTCTGCCATGCCAGCCCTCAGAAACCCACTCCCTGATTGCAGCCTGCACACTCAGAAGTCCCTCACAGCCAGGGCCAGTCAGTTGCATGGAGTCTCCCACTGTGCCAGCCGGTGGTGGGCAGTGACAGGAGCATTCCCACCAGACAGCAGCCAAAGCAAAGGGTCAGTCTGTGGGAGCTGTGGCAAACGGCTGTGCTGCTGCAGGCAGTCAAAGATGAGGGTGCTGCTGGAGGCTGCTGCCCTGGCCCTTCCCTGCAGCACCAGAGTTGGGGTCCCACCACCAGCCCTGAGGCTGGCAGCTGTGCTCCAAGGCCAGGAAGAGCTGGAAAACTTATTTTAGCAGCGACCCAAAGGGGGGATTTCTTTGCATTAAGATCTCTGCTTAAGAGCTCTGTTCTCCTTGCCCTTCATAGCCACTCACACATTGTCCCGTGGAACAAGCCCCGTCCTAAACATTCCCCAAGTCAGAGCAGCATGGCTTTCCCAGGTTGTTCACCCTTGTTTCCTGTGCCAGGGCTGGGATTTCCAGCCTTTACGAGATGCTATTACAGACCCCGAGCTGGCTTCCCCAGTCTAGGCACCATTCTTCAGCATCAAGTGCCCAACTCTCCCAGGGCTGGAAACCCACCATGTCAAAGCTAGAACATGCCCAAGAAGGAGAAGACAGGACCTCCTACATCCTCACCAGCTGCTCCCTGGACAAGGCTGATGGGGCGGCTCTGCAGTCCAGCTGGCGGGGTGGATGCTGCATGGAGAAGGCAGGAATTCACTGTGAGGCCATGCTCTGCTGCTGTTGGCAACCAGCAGCCGGTGACCAACAGCAGGTGAGCCGATGCTATGCCAAAAAACAAAAGCAGCAGCTGAACAACAGAAAAGGGATTTTTAGGCTGATTGCTTAAGATTCTAATTCCATTAGAGACTGTTATATTTGAAGGGTAATGAGTAATGAGTAGCAGGATGTCTCTGCTAGCCCCTCTGCTGCCCACCCATTCAATTACCATGCACAAAAACTTCCAACAGGCATTTGCTGCTGGATGCCTTCTCACATCAGTTTAGCTGCACTACACAAGTGTTCCCAGTGACTAGTATCTCCAAAGCTAGAGCCAACAAGAAACCAGTAAACCCCTCTGTCATACTCCTTTTCTGGCCTGCTTGGGCCTTTTATATTAAAATAAACATAAGGCATCAAAAAGGGCTAAGATTCACTCTTGTTCTTTATTAAACAGTACAGCTGGGTATAAGAGGCACACAGACTAGTTCAGTTCTCTTGGGAGTTACACAAAATGTGGCACAGAAAAGGAGAAGTCAAGGAGCTGGGAAAGCTAGAGGGAGCAGGGATGTTTTGGGGCAGTAACATCCACATCCCACCCATCACACAGCTGCCTACGTGTCACACAGAGCCAGAAGGTGTCACACTCCCATGATGCTGAAGGCTGATGCCCCAGAACAGGGTTGCAAAGGGGACATTCGCATTCCCAAACCCTCCTACCCCATATCATGCCATCACAGCTAGTGCCTCCCTCCAGGCCTGGGTCCTCCGTCCCTCATTGCTGGGTGCAAGAATGGGGAGGACTTCGCCTCATCCAGCAGATGGAGAGAGCCAGAGGCCAGAATGCACAGCACCACACTGTAGCACTGCAGAGGTAGAACATGGTACCATGGGGAGAACAATGAACATGGGGATGTTCACTGCCTGATCTACAATACCTCTCAGTTTGCCTACCAAACACAGCTGGAAGGCTCTTTGCTTGCTGGAAGCCCATGGCTACTATCAGGCCTGGTATCAGAAAATCAGAGACCCATCATTACCTCCATGGCATGGGCTTGGGAGCCTTCTCCTGCCCCAGCCTGGAGGACATCTGAGTATTGGAGGAATGTGTCTTCAGAACAGGACCATCTCAGCCCTCAACACCAGACTCCTCCTGTCCATCCCCCTGTAACCGAAACTTGCTCTGGGGCTAGTGATGGCTAGAAACATGGTTCTGCCTGTTCCACAGTGACTTCCATATAAAGATGAACACTTCCTTAAAGTGCTCAAGCTCAGCTTCCTCCAGAGTCCTCAGGTACTGCTTCTCAGCCATTTTCTGGGATTTCTTCTGGCAGATGCTATCTTCTCATTCCTGTGAGGGAGAGGAACTCTGCACATGGATACTGTGTGCAGCTGGGAAGCACTCCAGGTTCTGACAGCATCAGCAGAAAGATTCCAGCTATGCTTCCTCTGGCCAAGAGCCAGAATTTCTGGAAGCTGTTGCCATGACATGATTGCAACCTTCATTTTTATTTTAAGACATCTTTGCCTTGTATTTATTTTATTCTCCTCATCACAAAGCAGTAAACAGACACTGCTGCTGCATTTCAGGTGGCTCTAAGGTTAAACCAACTGGCCAAACCAACACAAAGCCTTTCAGCTGGCAGCCCAGACTAATGTGACACCACTACTTGAATCATCCCTAGGAAACCTACTGAGTTGTGGCCAACCTGACACAGGGAAAACCATGGATCCCATCTAGGGCAGAGGCAAGACTGAAGAGAGCACCAGGATTAACCATGTTAGTGATGTGTTGATGAAGGGAAAGGGGGAAAAGCCCCATGGTGTGACCAGCCCTCACCTCTGCTGCCCCTGCCCCTGCTCCCGGAGGGAGCCAAATCCATCACTGCCACAGCTGGACCAGACACAGCAGCGCAGGAGGAGTGAGCAGTGCCAGACCTGGCAAGTACAGGCACAGCAAATAGGACCTCGGGCAAATAAGCCCAAGAGGCCTATGCCAGCTGTCACCTAACTAGGGTGGGTAGTCAGAGGAAGGAAGATGAGCCAGCTAAAAACCAGAATAGGTACATGGGTGTTGGTGCTCCAACTAGCCCAGAGGAACTTGGGGCAGGGTGGCATACCTGTGCTGCTGCACATCCAGGTTTCACTTCAGGGACGTACCCTGCCAGCCCTTAGCAAAGGCAGAGATGTGTTGAAGCAAGGTTGAATCAGTGTGAGAGCCCCAAAGCATATGTGACTAGTGGAGACAGCAATGGGCTGGTGCACAGAGAGAGACAGTGCAGAGAGGCAGAGAGTGTGGTGTGAGTGCTCCCTGTGCTCAGGACTGCTGCATGGTCAGGGATGAGGATGGCTGGCAAGATCTAGTCCCCTTCTGGGTGGGTGTCCCAGCCACGCTGCATGGCTGTCACCACAGCACTGTAGAGTTTGCTCCAAGCCTCCTGCACCTCTGGGCTGAAGGCAGTGCCAAGGCATTTCTCCAGCATGTACAGCAAGGACTCGCCAACAGTCTGAAAACCAAAGAGGGAGGTGTCAAGCTCAGCAGCAGAGGATGACATGCAGTCCCTTGTCTCACTTCACCACCTTTTTTGACTTCTCCCATTGCAGGGCACCTGCTCCTCCTCCACTAGCAGTACCAGGCCTCCCATCCCTGGCAGCTCAAAGGGGACCCAGAGCCAGCCCATGTCATCCCCTTCCCCATCCTATGCGGGCCCTCATCCCACACATTGGGTGACTGGGGAGGGCAAGGCAGGGACCAAGGGCTGACACCACACATGCAACACCAGGGGAGAGGGACACATCCATCCTCCACGGCTCCCACATGCAAGTAGTTGGCCCCACCCCTTGGCATAGCAGTGAAGCAGCAGAGCTGAGCCACGTCCTGATGTCAGGAGAGCGAGTCAGATCCCAGGCTGGATGCTTAGGGCCTGCCTTGATGCCTCTCAGGCTTCTCCACAGGGCACTGCTCCTCACAGAGCTATGAGCAACCCCATACAGGGGTACCCACACACTAAGGGCAGGGCTGGTGAGGATCACTACCACAAATAAAAGGCACCCTGCTCCCTCTGAAGAGGACAAAACCCAGTAGTATCAGGAGTGAGCCATGTGTTGGTTAGAAACCTTTTCTTCAACCTGCCATTCCCTCTGAATTATCCAGCATTTCTGTCCATGTTTGCTGGCAGGAGAGGAGTAAACAAGGGTTTAATACATAAGATGCTCAGGTCTTACTGCCATGGAGGAAGAAAGGGCTGGGGTGCAGCAACCCCATCTCAGTGCAGACATAGAGAAGTGGATGCTCCCTTTTCCAGATGTGGCAAGGTTTGCCCAGAGCATTTGATGCAGAGATCCAGGGCAAAGGCTGAGCCTGAAGCCCTGTGTCACAGGAGAGACCGCAGCACCCCAAACCATGGTCCTTTTCAAACAGTGGAAATGCCTTGCACCCATCTTTCCTTTCTCCTTGGGCTTACTGGGGAAGGACAGAAAATGAGGGGACCTCAAGGGCAGATATCACTACATAGTTATCAGCACCTTGGGCGGGATGCCCTGAGCCACCAGCTTTCTCTCCAGCCAGTTGAACCCAGGATAAGGATGGGGACAGCCAAGGGCTGCAGGCAGGGGTGCACAAACACATCTGCAACAGAACAAGAGAGGACACCTCACCGAGAAAGACTCGGTCTTCACACCAACTGCCTGGTGCTTCTTGCCAAGGTTGCAGAGATACTCTTCCAGGCAAGACAAGTTCTCCAGGTGGCTCACAGCAGCATCAATCACCAGCATCACCTGGTGCAGGAGTAGAAAGGCAGAATGGCATTAACAGCAAGAGGAACAAAGAGTCTGAATCTTCACCCTTGTCAGCCTGACCTGCTCCCAGCCCAGCAGATGCCCTCTGAGCTTTCCTTTGCTCTACTGTGATCTGTGTGTCAAATCAGTGAGGCATGCTGGCAGCAGCACACACCACATCCTGCCATGGGACACTGCCAGAGGTGCACAGCAAGCAACACAGCTAACCACCCTGTCCTAGAGAGGGTAAAGAGCCCTATAGCAGAGCAGCTGCAGGCTAAGACCTAATGCTGATGCAGTCATTGCAACTGCTAGGACCCCAGGACAACTGTATGGGAAGACTGGAAGTTGCTAGGACTGGAGTTTCCAACTAGGAGTTGCCAAGATAGCGCAATTGTGAATAAGGCCACTCTGATTCTAAGATCAGCCAAGGTATTTGAAGAGATGGGGTGGATAGTATAGCCAGGTCTCTTGACCTGGGCTGGTAAAGCACATACCACATGGTCTCCCAGGAGCATCAAGAACCAAATGGAAACAGGAAAGAGAAATGTAATGAAGGATGAAGGGAACAGACATACAAAATTAGAAGAAGAGATTAAAGCCAGGGCATGGTTATCTTGGCAAAGCCAAGGGGTAATAGAATTGTGCCCTATAATTTCAGCAGGGAATTTATCTCCAACAAGAGCAAATAGCTATGTTGGCTCAAAGCAATAATAGAAGTAAAAATGGACTTAACTTTGCCAACAAACAGAGGCTGGAAAGCAATAAAAAGCTTGCAGCTATCAGAGGAGCACAGTCCTGAAACAGCCTCTTACGAGGAATAAAGACAGGCAAGCAAGGCACCAAACTGGTTTAAGATGGAGCCAGGCAGTTTATGAAGGCATCTGCAAGCCAAAGGCTGTGCTCAGAGGCTCTCTGGGAGATGCTGTGGGCCTTCTGGCTCTGCAGCTGCACCAAGAGCCTCTCCACATTAATGGGTCCATGCAAGCCTGGCCCACTGCCCAGCTCTGTGCCAGCTCCTGGTCAGCATGTGGCCAAGGAGAGGGCTTCAGTCCTTGTCTGAACAGAAGCGAGCTCCTTGAGGCATCTCACTCAGGTAGGAGAAGGAGGCTTCCAGCTTTCACAAGAGGCAATTCACTTTCAGACAAGGGCATGAAAATCAGCATGGTGCTTCTTAGCCACCACAACCCGCATCCTCATTCCCTCCCCACTGTTGCAGGACACTTTGTCCTGGCAGTAGTGCCTTCTGCTAGTAAAAGTAACCCCTGCAGTTACTGTCTCAGGAGGAAACTTCCCATGCATTCCCTGGTAAGACACACCATAATCTTGAGTCATTGCCTAAGGGCTTCTTCTTCCATGGAGACTGTGCTCCAGCCATGCCATAGCACCTCTCTCACCTTCCTAATGTGATCCAGGAACTCAGGGGCAGAGAGGCACTCCTGAGGGCTGGCAAACTGCTTGTAGTTGTACTGGAAAAGGGGCAACAGGTCAGGATCCAAGTCAAACAACCTGCAAAAACAAGAAAGAAACCCCATCTTCTCACTTCCTCAGCTTTATTTAAAGTCCTACTCACCCCAGGAACAACCCCAACAGCAGCACAACCACAGCCCCCTTTTACTTCCCTTCCCACCTACTGAACTCTCCCACCTGTAAAGGATTCAAAAGTTCTGGAAAGTTTTGGGTTTGGGCAATCCAGATTAGCTATAGGCAAAAACCTCTCTACTTCCCTGGCCCACAACCCCAGCTCTCAGATACATGTCTATGGCACCTGACGACCAGTCCCAGCTCACTGGAGTTCCTCCCAGCCTAGCCCTTCTCCCCAGTCTTGGTTGTTGGCTCGACTCTTCCCATTCGCACTTCTTGATCCCCTTTAACCCAAAAGCTCACAAATCAGGGAAGGTCTCCAGCAGCTGTCTAGAGCAAGGAGGCGTGCACAAACTCAGTCAGTCTCCGACACCTTCACCATCTCCATCCCGCCCCCCCTGCCCCTGCCCCATCTTCCCTGCCCCCGCATGTCAGGCACATATAGGCCTCAATAGCAGCCATCCAGATAGATCTAACAGGCCACAGGGAATTCAGGCAAGACAGTCTCTCTTCTCATCATCCTGCACATTAAACTACTGCATCCTTCTGCCCCCACATTGCTGTCACTGCTCTAGTCCTGCTCTGGGAGGATCTCACTTGTTCCAGAAGCTGCTCATCAACTCTCCAACTGTTCTTTTAAAACGACTTTTCATTGATTTTTTCCTTTTTCTCTTCACATAATTGATATATTAATCTGTTTAGCACAGATTAGGCAAGAAGCTGGGTATCAGTCGTTACCCCCGGCACACCACTTCCTCTGCCCTGACACTGAATCCCTCCTCGGCGGCCAGATCTGTGCCTGGGGCTGCGCAGCAGTTCCCTGATCAGGGAACAGTCAGGCGGCCCCTTCCATACGCTTCCCAGAGCCGAGGGTACAAGCAGCCCTTCAAACAGCAGAAGTCGTGGTGACAAGGCAGGGGATCAGTGGGCAGAAACGCACAAACCCTGCCCGCCGCTTCTCTCTCACCCTCCACCTCCGCGTAACAAAGTTCTCACTGGCGGAGGGTGGGAAAGGCGGGGGAGCGGAGCGGAGCCCAGCACTGCCCCACGCCCCTGCCCCAAGGCACCCGCGGCTGGGCGATGGAGGAGCTTCGGCCCCCGTCGCTCTCGGGAGTGGAGAGAGGTCAGAGGAAGGGAGCTGTCTGGGAGCCATCGCCAAGCACAGGGAAGCGTTTCTCTCCAAGAAGCGGAGCCCGTCCATCCCTCCCTCCCGGGTCGGTCCGGGGTGCCGGCGTCCGCATCGCGCCGCCGCGCTCACCTGGTGAAGAGGACGAGGCCGTGCTGCTCGGGGCTGCCGCTCACCCGCCGCCAGCTCTCCCGGATCAGCGCTCGCTGCCCACCCGTCAGCGGCATCCCGCTCTCCATGGCGGGGGCCCTGCCTCTCGCCGCCCGAGGCGAGGCGAGGCGCTGGTACCGCGGGCTCCGCGGGCGGAGGGGCCGGCGAGCGGCAGCCGCCCGCCCCTCGCTCCGCCGGGGGGGCCCTGCCCCCGCGCCCCCCGCCCCGGCGGCATCCGCTCCCCGCCCGCCGCCCCTGCCCTGCTCTACCCCGCTCTGCCCCGCTCTGCCCCGCGGCCCCTCTGCTGCACCCGCGGCTGTCCCGGCCGGGGAAGGAAGAGCTCACCGAGTATTTCCCATTCGGGGGAAGGAAGAAAAACGAAATTCAAAATCCCCAAACCTCCTTATCCCGGGTCCGCAGGGCAGAACAGAAAGTTCGGCTCATTCACGGTTGACATTTCCCGTCGACCTGATTTTACGGGCGAAGCAGCACCGCAGAGCCGTGCCAGCGAGGGAACCACCGGGACCCGGACACTTCCCTCACCATTCAGCACAGCTCCTTCTGAGCGTAACTTTGCTTGGGAGGGCCTCAGCGATGCTCCGCCATCCTCTTGCTCTTGGCCACTTCCACTGAGACTCTGGATGCCACGCAGCCACCTGCTATTTCCATAGGCAGACGCAGTCTAGACACTGCAAAGTGCGAATTTAATTTGAGGCTAATTAAGACAGCTAAACCAGACAAAGTTGTTAATAACAGATCGGAAGACATATCATCTTTGTCAATTGCGTTCAGGATGCACAGATTCTCTTTCTTGTTCAGACACTGCTTAATTTGGCCCCAGGATGTAGGCAGCACAGAGGAAACAAAGCAAGAAGGGGCAAATGAGGTCTCAAGCAGTACAACAGAAATCAGGAAAGTTAAGGTTTTCAGAAGGATGCAAGCAATACAGAAGCACAAATATTACTGAAACCATTGCAGTCTGCACAAAAATAACAACTGTGCTGATCTTGTTACAGGTTCTGGTTCTGTACATCAGACTTATTTCTTGTAATCAGGAGAGAAGACAAAAGCCTCTAACACAACCCAAGAAAATATTGACTCAGTGTAGGCATAAAGGAGTACTGAAAATAATCCCTGGGAGGAGACAAGTTCAAAGGCACAATGGTACATTATCAACCCCAGCTTGTCTCCCAGGGGCCTTTCTCCTATAGAGCTAGAGTGACAGCACTGACTGCAGTGACAGCAGTAAGCCACCCGAGATGGCTCTGCAAGTGCCAGAATAAATTACCTGTTTCCTCAGGATTTTGAGACCTCGCATTCTCAGTGCAGACCAGACAAGATGCTGCATAGGAAAAGCTCCACAAGGGTTAGAGGAGGCTGAAGAACCCTGTCCTAAAGCTGGGCTCTTGAAGGAAGAGTCCAACAAGCTCACAAAAACATTGAACTGTCAGATCACTGAGCCAGAAAACAAATGATGTCACAAGTATACTGTGTGTTAAATGCCACTGCTAGAAAAGACTGAATTAATGTCAAAGGTTCCAAGTCCTGGGAAAATGCAAATGGCTTCTGCTAAATCATGACTCCTCTTAGAAATACAGCATTTTACCTTTCATACTAAGAAAACCCCAAAAAGCATACCATCTCTACACGTCTGTATTCTTAGAGAACAGGGGATAAATTGAAAGCATTCAATAATGAAGAAAAGGCATGAGATGAAGGGCCATCTCATAGCTGGGGAGTCAAAACACACAAACTGCCAGCCTGCAGTGCTTCCTGCTGCTGGCCACCATCTTCTGGTCCAGGACAAGTTCCCACTAAAAACAGCGTCTTAGCTGTGTGGTTGCAAAGGGAACATTCTCACTGGGCAGTGATGATAAATCACTGTGATGATAACCACTGAAACTGCAAGGAGCCTGAAAGGGCAGCTAGGAAAGCAGTGGGAAATACCGGGTTAATCCGAGCAGGACAAATGCTGGCCCAGTAGTGCCAACACAAACATTAACCTTTATCTATCTTGCAGCTGATCGAGCGGGCCAGCAAAGAGCATGAAGTGTCATCTTGTGTCATCTGCACAAGGTACTCTGACATTTCAGCCAGTTGTCAACCACACAGCTGTGGAGCTTCACCAGAGCCTGCTGGACAGTACAGCCTGGCCCTGCTAACAAGAAAGGGTAGAAGAACAGATAGGCAACGGTGTGCTGCTGGGGCACTGGAAAGGAGTCATCCTTTCATCTCCATCCTGGAGAGTCATCCCAGGTCACAGGATATTGAGGAGTAGAGTTGACGCACATATGTGAAGTCAGAGCAGCAAACAAGGCTGAGTATTTGCCTAGCAACATTTTGAGTACATTCAGACCTGGCTGATAGTGGAGGAAGAGAAATATCACAAAAACAAGTTGTTGCAGTTAAGAGCGATCAGCTCCTGAAGATTAGTTGGGATGTAGGACACCTTTCCTGGTATCCACATAGGCACCATATCAGCTACCCTGCCCCAGGGCAACAACAAAGTACAGGTTCAGCCATTGTTCCTGATGGCAAGGGTGTCTCAGACAATAGCAGGGAAGCCATGACAGCAAGAGAAAACGGTGAATCTTGTCCCAAGCCTTCCCCCCTGCACCTTCCCTCTGTGCTGCAGATGGTGGCTGCATGCTGAGCGCACGCAGACAAGGTTCAAGTGTCAGAGCACCCCAGACATAATGGCAGCAATGAGAGTGCTCAGCATGACATGCCTTCCTTTCATGAGAAATACAGGTACCCCAGCTAATGAAAGGGGCAATGCGCTGGCCATACTCGCCTGTTGGCACCCAAACCTCACGCTGGTATGACACTCAGCAGAGTCTAAAAACTCTTAATTTCTTCCCTGCCTCCCCCAGCAACAGCTCCTTCTGGGCTGGATACATTCAGGAGCAGTTTCCCCACCTTCCCTGACTCTCTGAACAGTGAATCCATCCCTTTGCTGCCTTTTGGCACTGGTACATGTTCCCTCCCTTAATAAAGCCAGGATTTTTTAACCTGTACAGCACAGGTCTTCCAGCACAGGAGGAAGGAGCTGCAAGGAGGGACTTGATGTGGGAGACAGGGGTAAGAAACATATGAACCACCATTCACATGACTTGAAAGAGCAAGGGTTTGGGAGACACGGTGCTCTTCCCTGTGTGCAAAGCAGCTTCTCCCGTGCAGCTACGTGGCTGTCAGTGGAGTTTCTCCTGCTGTCAGAGCACTGAGGTTCTGAGAGCACAAGTGGAGTCCAGAGAGGATTTAAAGTACAAGGAAAAACAAACAAGGAAACCTCCCTTCTTGTTCCAAATGTTTTGTGAGCCTTCAAGCATGAGAATCTCAGCAAGAGGTTGACCACAGCAAATGTTTCCATGGTGGGAGGGTTTCCTGCAATGCTTTCCAGCTCCCTTGGCTTCATGCACCTAACCTGGCAGCTCAGCTCTTTTCTGAGCTGTTCTTGGATTTCTACAAGACCATCCCTAGAACTCTCATGAGTGAAAAACAACTGAGTCAGCAGCACAGACTGCTCCAAAATCATCTGTAGACTACTTGGAGAAAGGGGAGTTTCTGGAGAAACTCACTGACATGCAACGAGGATGGTAACACTCTTTTGTGCTTTAGGAGAACACAAATTTATGTTTTTAGTTTGCAGTGAGTCTCGTTATTGTAATCTATAGCCCCTTCAAGTTACAGTACCAACACTCCTAACTGCCCTTGCCAAGTGTCAGCTTCACTTGTTCTCTGTCTCAGTTTTCCCACATGGAAAGAAACTTGCCCGATCTCATAAAACCGTGTGACAGAACTAAGAATAAGCTCACAAATGCCAGTCCCCAGCACTGAAGTCAGGGTTCACAGCACCTGGAGAACAATCCTTCCTGCCCAGAGAGGCCCTATCCGCCTGGCCCAGGAACAACTGCTTTGCATGTGCTGCTGTGGCATCATCAATTTTCATCCCAGCTGCTGCACTAACAAACCCATATTCCCCTTTGAATTTGTGCTCATTTCCAATTCTACACCTGTGAGTCTTCATGCATAATGACACTCTGATCTAGCTGCCTCAGGCTCCCTGCTCACTTTTTATATAGACTCCTGGGCTTGCCTAATCCCCTTCTTTCCCCTTGTCCCCAGTCTGAAAACCTCAGACCATGACAGCTCCTGTTTTTCCCAGACTCCCATCCCCATCCTCAGGTGGGATCAGAACTCATGCAATGCTCCCAGCAGTCTTCTCAAGCTATCCCCTCAGGCCATGGTGTGGCACAGCTCAGTAGCAAAGCAAGTCACGAAATACAGTTGCATAACAAGAATCAAAAGCAATGCAGGAGGGAATAATCTTCTCCATAAAATGATTAAGGCAAGCTGCAGAGCTTGCTGGCTGCCACCACAACTGTGGAGAGAACAGGGCAGCACTACCAACCTTGGGGATCTGGGCTAAGAGAAGAGGGATAGGCAGAGGGAGAAGGTGCAATGTGTGGGAGAGGATTCAGTAGCAGAATAAAATGAAAACTCCTTTTGACTTCAACTTGCTACTAGACATTGCCAGGTTTATCTTGAATCTCCTGTGGCCAGCTAGGGAACATTTGTACAGGCAGGTGAAAACATTACAAGGATGAGAGGGCATGAAGTGGTGAGAGAAGCCAAAGGTGACCACACAAAGTTGTTGGATCAGGTCTGGCACTTAAAAGATGCTCAGACCTTATCCCAGTTGTTACTCACCTTGTGCTCTCTAGCACAGTGATAATCCATCACTACCAGGCTGATCTTCCAAGAAGCAACCTCTGCCTTTTGTAAGTCACTCTACCAAAGTGAGTTCACAGAGTGTATCAACCATGTCAGTCTTGACACACAAGACGAATTTGGTCCTAAGACACAACTACAGATGTGCACGCATTCCAAGCTGGTGGGATGCAAGCACCTGTGGTCCCAAAGCTCTCCAGCCTCATTTGCTTAGCATGGTGCTCTAGCTAATATGCCTGATAACATGTTAGCACAGTTACCTGGCTTCTGTCCTACCTAGGAATGGTGCACATGGTCTTGGGTCTTCCTCTGATTGTCCTTATGCTTCTGGACTGGATCATCCTTCAGCTGCTGAAACATCATGGCAAAAGCTTGGTGAAAGGATGCTTTACTCCCTGTGGACCCTCCTCTGTAGTTTCCCTGCTGAGTTTGACTTGTTTCAGAAGCGCTGCGGGTGCTGATTTCTGATTTGTCATTGATCGTCTTCTCTCTGATCTCCACTCCGTCTGTTCTCTCCCTCCTTTGTGCACTTTGAATTGACACTATTGATTAGGCCATCTCCTACAAACATTTGATGTACAGTGGTTGTCTACAGGAATAGCATTTTTTACATGATCTTTTAAAATAAAGATTTTATATTTCATTGCACCCATTTCTTCATGGCAGGGCTGTGCCAGCATTCCCACCTTTCAGCTTTGCATTCAGCCATCTGGTCTCATAGCAAACCCCATGTGTTATTCGTTCTACGTGCAGGATCCTTTCCTGCTTGAGGTCTTCTCCTCCTCACCTATCTAAGCCATTCTAGTTTTGGGGCTTTGTCAAAAATGATTTTCCAGTTCAGTGAGGAATTTTGCACCTGCAAACTCTAGAGTCAAAGAAGCCTAAGTGTTGAATAAATACTAAGTTTCTGTCTTGAGGAGAATGATGTACCATGTCATATCACAAAGCACTTCCCAATCCATTAGTAACCAAATAGGATGTCAAACAGCAACTGTCAGCAGTAGAGACTTAAAATCAGCAGGCACAGATGCAGTCCTACAAGAGGTGCCTGAGGGTATCTCCAACCTACTTGTTGTTAATTTTATCTTTTTAATAATGCTCAAAACAAAGGTATTTCAGAAGACTTGTAGTATAAAATGTGGTAATACTCAGAAAGACCAAACAGAATGATTAAGGAAAAAACTAACTAGCCTGATAAAAACCAGCATACAAGAAAAATAACCCAGTAGGGTGTTTATTATAAAAGTGTTTGAAGCTGTGTAGGTCACAACTTTTCAGAGTGACCCATCGGTTCATGCCTTTTCATCTCTGCCAAGCAGCAATCTAACTCTTGATGCATCTCTTACTACCTATGTCCTGACAGTTTTTCATTAACTTCGATATTGCTCTTTATGCCTTCATTTTGAGAAGCAGCCTTTTTGCTTTCCCCCTCCACATGACTCTCTCATAGCAGCTCTCAGTAATCTGCATTCTCACTTTCTGGACGCTTCTCTCTCATATTTGAAGTTAATTAATAACTTCTTACTCAGCTTCTTATGTTTGGTTTCTTTGGCTATTCCTGGCCTTGCCTTACACTGGGATAGTTGGTGCTGGTACTCTTGTTGACTTTTATTTAAATATTGCTTCTCAGACTTGTTTCCAACGGGGTTTTGCCTGGAAGTTATTGAATTGTTTAAACTCACTTTCTTCAGCTGCACTGAAGCTGCACTTAGGCTGCACTTATTTGCCTCTTTTCACACAGTTCATAAATCTTAAATAAAGATTGTAGAATCATAGAATTGTTAAGGTTGGAAAAGACCTCCAAGATCATTGAGTCCAACTGTTAACCATTAACTGTCCACTGCCAGGTTCGACACTAAACCATGTCCCCAGGTGCCACATCTACATGTTTTTTGAACACTTCAAGGGCTGGTAATTCCACCACTTCTCTGGCCAACCTGTTCCAATGCCTGACCACTCTCTCAGTGAAGAAATGGCCTGGTACCAGGCCATTTCCTCTTGTCCTGTCACTTGTTACTTAAGAGAAGAGACCAACTCCCACCTGTCTACAACCTCCTTTCAGGTAGTTGTAGAGAGTGATAACGTCTCCCTTGAGCCTCCCCTTCTCCAGGCTAAACAATCCCAGCTCCCTGAGCTACTCCTCCTGTGCTCCAGACCCTTCATCAGCTCTCTTGCCCTTCTCTGGACACAGTCCAGCACCTCAGTGTCTTTCTTGTAGTGAGGGACCCCAAAACTGAACACGGGATTCAAGGTACGACCTCAGCAGTGCTGAGTACAGAGGGACAATCACTGCCCTGGTCCTGCTGGCCACACTGTTTCTAATACAAGATGTACCATCTTATACATGTTCACATTCTCATCTTAACCAAGTCTCCCCACTTCTCAGCTAGTTTCATTCTCCACCTCAAAACCAAATAGTTATTGTCCCTAAAGCATTGCAAGGGATCAGCACACTGCCAGGGTGGGATTCAGCTGATCCAACACAGATGCTTTCATATGGACAAGTAATCTAAACTCCCTTTCTGGTCAATGGAGAAGCCCCAGGTACTTCATAACTATCTAATCCTAAAATACATGGTAAAAAAAACCAGATCAGGTGAATGAACCTTTTGTCAGCTGCATGACAGCAGGATGACTGGCTTTGGATGAAATCTAGAGATAAAGCAATGACTGCAAGAAGGGTAAAAATGGACAAAGCAATTTACAGCAATTGCGACACTTAGACTACACCCATTCTGATAAAGCACAAACTTTCTATTTCCAGAGCATGCATTACATGGGCCAGAGTTACAGAGTTAGTGATGGTGCATTAGAAAACAACTCCAAAGTGTACAACCACATTCTTGGATGTAAACCAGGTAGCAGTGGTAGGTGTAGTGAAGATTTATTTCAGCATATCGAACTGGAGAGACTGATGCTGGAAGACAGTGTGCAGTTTGGGAAATCATATGGGTAAACTGAAGAAAATGAGAAGGGGCATGGGAAATCAAGGGCCAAAGGAAGTAACCTGCATTGAAAGTTTCTATTTTGTTAGAAAACGGAAGATTAAGAAAGCAGCTTGAAGACAGAGCACAAAATCTATACTAAAACACCAGGTTGTAAAGCCTCGTTCTTGTTGATGAACATGTAACAGGGTGATGGCTGGAATCTAGCAGCCTAGAAATCTGGCAGGTTCAAATCAAATATAAATTGGAATCGCTCACCAGTGTACGCCCACGTGAGATCACTTACCTACAGAAAGAAGCCATTCTTCCTTTAGAGGGCAGTGAGAAGTAAAGTTTTACTCCAGATATTATCAGCATTTTCTGAACAATACTTCATTCTTTTTCCTTTCAGTTGTCTCCCTACATTCTAGCACAGCTTCTGTATCAGCACTCCTTCCTTCCAGAACAACAGCCCTGATCAGACAATATCCAAAGACCAACTTGCACTGTGTGAAGCAGTACAAGATGTCAATAGGCTTTTCAGAAGCCATTTAATAGCCTATTGTATCACTCTGTACAGGACATAGTACAGTTCCCAGCTGTCCTGGCTTTACTTTAGCAGCCCTCGGAACATGTCTAAACAGACTGGTTGGCTCTTCTCCAGCACTGATCTGGGCATCAGTGTGTAACCAGATAAGGCAGCTGTACTTCGGTTTTCCCCATCTAGTTCCACCCCAAGCAATCCCCTATTATATTGTACTCAAAAGCATATGCTGGCCTCTCACTACAGCCTGGTGTAGAGATAGATTCTGATTTTCAGCATTTCAGTTTTATTACAGATTCTTGCATTTACTTCACAGCAAGGACCTCATTTGTACAAAACAGTGCACCAGTCTGGTGTTAAGGATGCTATGGATTGAAAACAAGAATGACTTATAGAAGAATGTTGGATTCCTGAATAAAGTGCTTGATCTGTAAAATGAAGTGTTCACAGGTAATCTACCAGAAGCTTGATGAAAATACCCATTAAACCTGACACATTATACAAATTTACAATTTAACATGCCTTTAATAGGGAGAAGTAAACCTGCTTCAACACACATACTTTATTCTCATCCAAATAAACCAGTTTCACTTCCTGCTGTGCTTACCAGCAATTGCCTGGATTGCAGTAAAATCTGACCTCCTTGAATTGTAGTCCAACAACACCTGTGTGCTAAAAGCTGATGTAGATCATCACTATCCTAGATCAAACTCTTCAATGGGTCCATTTAAAGTTCATGTTGCTACTTCAAGTATGTGAGGAAGAGAGGAAAGGGGGAAAAATACACCCCAAGATCTAGGCACAAAGAGAATGCTTCCAAGAAGATGCATTTATTACAAAATTAAATTCCAAATTCTACTTCATTTTCCATTATCACCTGTACAAAACACATTTATAGCTCAAGGGAACATTCTCCCATCCACACTGTATGATACAGTAATTGCACTGTGGTTAGAAGACATTCAGTTCGTGGACAGATGGACGCACACACACACAGACAGCATTAGTAAGAAAGCTTCAGGATACAGGGCAGAATTACAAAGGAAGCCCTCTCACTGCTGCTACAAACTCTTGCTCATCCAGGTTCAAGTTCTCCAAGGATGGCTCCAAACAGTGACTCTTGTAAAACACAATAACCTCACTTGGCAACGTTTTAGGAACAATTACAAATTCAGCAGCAGTGGTATCCGTGCTAATATATCACCACCTCAGATAGTATTTGTGACAATCATAGCCCTTGACATTCAAGTAAAGAGCATAAAAAAGTTTAAAAAGTGAAACAACTCACAACCCTCCACGCAACCAAGGTCTTAGTACTTTAAAGAAGACAGAGACAATTTTCAGTCCTGACTGCTTGCAGTTCACAGTCCCCCGGTGAAAACAGCAAGTATGCTGTGGAAGTGGTGTTCTTATCCTCAGCCTTCCTTTCCCAGCAGGAAAGAGCCTTATGTTCTAACAGTCCACACACTTTTGCTTTCATGACACACTTGCCCATGTATGGGGTCACTTGCTGTAAAGGGGTAAAAAAAAATAATCTTACCTACATTCCCCAGCTGGTAGAGACATAGGGCTAAGGAGATTTTCACATTGTCAGCAGGATCCCGAGAAGATGAAACAGGGCTTGTGCACAGAGTGCCAGTCGAGAGGGTAAATCACTCAGGCACAGCATGGAAGGGAAGCTTCTAAGTGTGGCAATGGAGAATTTCAGGTAAATGCCTGTTTTTCTGTGTTAAGAGTTGGTCCCTTGAAAATAATTCTCAGAGGGATTCAGGAGGAACAGGAGGGAATTGTCAAGTAATGCATTTGTTTACCTTTCCATAACAAGGTTCTGGTTTTGTTCTCAGATTACAGGTATTCATTTACTCAGGATACTACAAGATGTCTGTTCTACCCCTTGTTCAGGCACCTGTATGAAACGGATGCACAGCCCAAAAACTGGGGAAAGCAAAGACATGTCCTGTTCTTTGGGCATACTTGAAGAAGCAGAAGAAAGGAGGAAGATATAAAAAGGTAGATCCTGTCAATGCCCTTTGTGCATCAATCAGCCTTTCCAATCGAGACGCAAAAAGAAAACCCTACACAGAAAGGAAAGGGGTGGTGGCTCTCATACCCACCGGGCTGCAAACAGTGGTGGTGAGCAGTGATGACACAAAGTCCTCCACCTGGACCAAGAGCAACCTTGACACAGAAATCTCCATTCAAATCCTCCTCACGGTCACATCCCTGCCTCATAGAATGAGTAGTCCAGTTCCTGGAAATAAGCCGGTCCCTGCTGCTGCAGTAGATATGTGTGTATTGATGTCCTGAAGTGACTGTTAATAGAAACCTTTTAAGATGGATGGATTGTCTAGGATAATGCTAGATGAGCCTAGGGGCCCTCTACCTATCCTTCAAAGACTGAAGAGTTGAAGATATTTTACACACAAAAAAGAATTTGAACCAGGGAATGTGGTAGCCTGCAGCTTTTTGTGATTTGAATCCATGGATACAATTTGATGAA